ACATTTATTTAGCAATTGAAGCATTATTAAAAGAACTCAAGAATGGTTATATAGTCATGATAGAAACTATTGTTATGCACCACAGTAACAAAACTCTTTGAGAATTTAAATCTTGATTTGGAGAATGCTTGGTGTGAGGCCATGGAGGTGATTTTAATGACAAAGGAAAACTATTGAAGCATAATGCATTGCAGTAAACAGGCACTGGCGTCTGCACACCAGATCCTTGCACAAATAAGGCTTTGCCTTTGATCTAAATCACCCCTCATGGTAATATTGTGCATGCCTTGGTGTTCTTCCCTGTTATGGGAGTACGGAACCTCCTCATCTACACATTTTATCAATTCATTCCTGCCAGGTGACCTTGTGGATGTTGAAAATCTCACATGGTAATTTCTCTGCTAAATGATGTCTGTTCTGCATTGAAGCCTTAAATATGAGCAACATGTCCATATACTCAGTCACAACTCAGCATAAAAATAACAGCTCCAGGCACCTGGATATACATTGGTCTCCCTCTCTTTCTGGCTCTAGGATTCAAAGCTTCATAAATTGCTCTACCAATATCTCTTTTCAAGTCCCATCCTTTTGTTAGGAGATCTTTTCTTTCACAGCTGAATCTCTCACTAGGGCGTCTTAATTGTGTCTCTCTCTAGACCTTAGCATTGGAAGAACTCTTGGAGATGTCTTCTCTAGTTACACTGTTTTGTAGTTTGAGTTCCAGAGAACTCTTATGTGGGTTCCCACCCACCATTACAGCAAGGTGGATCCAAATTCACAGGATTTCTACACATTTGCTTTGTTCTTCCCACATCTTATTTTATTCTGACTGCTAGATGGAGGGGCAACTGTGTCTGGAGATCATTTTTCGAAGTGGTGTGATCTGTAAAAATGAGTGGTGAAGTATGGAACCTATGTGGCTTTCTTGTCATATGCCAAGAGAAAATTCTTGAATATGCTACAAATGTAGGGATAAATTTAGCTAGAGATCTCTGGTGTACTTATTATGGGTCAGATTATGAACTGTGGTCTTAAATACACTTTTATGTTTCCAAATACTCTTGGCATGTGGAAGTCAAATACCTAACTTAGCCATAGGTTCTGTACCTATGTCAGTTTATGTTGCAATGGAATTAACATGAATTGTATGGGATATATATATATATTCTTTTTGAGTGTTCTTCATATTTTATAGGACTTGGCCCTGAAGCAATTGGATGGGTTGAAAGAGCAATGGTTTGGAATTCTAGCTCCCCTTAGCCTATCAGAATTGGAATCTAACCTTAGATTCCTCATTGTATCAAGTTGTAAAACTTACTAAATGCCTAAACTACTTTTGCAGCAATTTTATCTTGTTAAATTTATCAGGCAAAAGTATTGCTCTTTATTCAATTCAGTATTGCTCAGTATTCAATTCAATATTGAACTGAAGTTTTCAACCTGATATTTCCTAGTTGGGGACCTGCAAAACATTTCAAAAGTGAACAATTTAAAAACTGCCTGAGAAGTTCTCAGTTGGAAGTTCCCAACCATTGAGTTGTTTGTCAAATGACTGAAGACAAATTATTATTATTGGGGAGGAAAAAAGGCAAAATTATATAATGCCTGACAAGTATTAAAGAAATGCAAAAAAGAAAAACAGTATTTGATTTCTCTTCATGTCAATTATAACTTTTATTGTAAAAAAATTAATAGAAAGAACTAAATTAAAAACTTGAAATTTCAAATGATAATTGTTTTATGCTTCCTATTGTGCTCAGCATCCAAAAAAAATAAAATATGCAGATTATACAGTGCAATTATTTTTCCCTAGGACCTATGTAATATCCATACCTTCACCATGTGAGAGATTGATGTGTGAATGCTAAATACTTGGTACCCATCATGCACATCATAGGTAGCTGTTTAAGGATATTACCACATGGGGATTTGTGTGTATTTGTGTATGTGTAGGTTAAGGGATGTGATTGATTTTTATTGTGCTTGTTTAATCTCTAGCCCGGTGGATTACATTCAAAATATGACAGGAAGGCACAGAAAATTATCTGTGACATCTTTCTATTTATTTATTTATGATGGGTTCTAACTGTGTAGTTCAGACTGGCTTTGAATTCACTATACAGCCAATGCTGGCCTTGAATTTGCGGCACTCCTTTGGCCTCATCCTCTTGAGAGCTGGGATTATTGGTCTGAGCCACCACACTTGGCTATCTTTTAATAAAAAAATGGGAGAAAATCATAGACATTTCTTTCCCTGATGATTAACATAATAAAAAATTATGTACGAATTTACTGGAACTCATTTCTGGAAGATGCAAAAGTTCATCCTTTTGAGGCCAGGTAATGCTCAATAATGTTAGTGTCTACAATTAAGTAATGAAAGTTGACTTGTTTCTAATTTTTTGAAACATGGCTTATATCTTTATTCTTAAACACAGACTCCTTTTTTCTAAAACTTCAAAATACAACTGAACTTATGACTAACTATACATGGCAAAATGGCCTCTTAGGATAATACATTATTCATACATGAACTTGAATACTAATTTAATACTTCTGCTCTTGCAAATATCCAAAGTGGAAGAAGCGTCATTTGGCTTATGAAGAACTCAGATTTAACTCTCTAGTGAACCAAACAAAGACAGGTTTCAAAGACACTCCATATGGAATACCTCTGCATCCCAGTCTAATGAATGGAATTAATTTGAACGTGCGTTAACAACTTTAAAAATTTACGCAGAATCTGCCTGTTTGTTCATTTCTGGATTAGTTTGCCTCTTTCAGAAAATAAGAACCCTAGTATAATAGTAATGAGAATTGAAATCGAATGAGCCCGTGCTTAAATGCCCAGGGGTGGGGGAGTGGGGAGATGCAAGGCAAGGAATGCCAGTTATCCGTCAGTGTCTTTTGAATGTTCTCAGAAAACAGCACAAAAATGCTGAGGCTTTGGCATGCAGGGGCCAGCTTGCTCAGGAAACTGTGGTGTATACAAAGCAAAGTGCATAAACAAACTCTCCATCCAGGAAGCTGAGTTTAACAACTGCCTCATTAACAAGATGGAGGGAAGGACAGGAAAAGGGGGAAGCCAATGACTGAGTATTATACAGATCTAGACAGATGAAGCCCTTCAGCAGCTCCCCAAACAATCCCTGCAGTGTGGATTTGACAAAGTGGCACATTTAAGAGGGAACTCTCTTGCCATCAATGGGAGTCAGATGTACCCGCATCTTAGGGCCAAATTCAGTCTCTGGAGCTTGACTTTATCAGTAGACACAAGACAGAGCACAAGCCAGCTATACTCACAGAAGATTAATTAAGGGCAGAAGAGACATCCAGTGAATGCAGTCACAGACAGAACACTGATCTACATGTCAGCCAGCATTGCTTCTACCTCTTCTTTTTTCATTTAAATTATTTCCACTAAGGTACTCTGCTAATTACTACTTCAACAGAAATTTATTTGCTGACTGACTACACTGAAATGTTACACTTTTTTATTACTACATTGGGCAAAGTATATAGACTGAACATTCTGACGCCAGTTTAAGTTTCTGAATGGTCAAAATCTTTTGTGGTGAAATTCTATCATGTATAATATATTAGTTTGAATTTCTCATTACACATTTCTTCAGTTTTATGTGGAATGTAAATTCAAATAAATCAGATCAGAATTGCCAAAGTCAACTGTCAACTAGTCTTTACTAGTTTTCCTGATTTCCTTTTAAAATTGTTTGTTTTATAACGTACTGTAAACCTCTACTGTTTATGATAGTGTTGCTTTTAAATATACAGTTGTTTTCCACACCCTTTTCCAATACCAGTATTTGTTTCTATGGATGTCTTAATCCATACCCACCCAGCACACATCTAAAAATCACATTGCAGTGCCCTTTTTTGAAACCAATGAAAACAATCATGTGATACGTATATTGCTTTCATTTTTTATGGGCAATAACGCAAGTCTCATTACCTTCAATTTTCAATGGCTTACCAGAGACATCATTTTTCAAGACCAGGTTCCTGGTTAAGTCCTTTAGCAAAGATTCTGACTTCCTCTTGAATCTGTGCTTTGTGTGCATCTCTCCTAAGCAGCACTGAGACCAGAGTAATCTGTCAGTCATCACTTGTGATGGGCTGTAGTCCCATCTGTTCAACAGCAGCCTTTATTGCTTAAGGAAAATAGGAAATTCTGCCTCCTGGACACAAACATGTGCATTTTCTATGTCCAGGACCAAAAGGATGAAAGGGGCAGATTTAACCAATATTTCCATAAGAATGAAAGTCTCACTTTTAACTCACACGTGGAGTGCTTCTCTTATAAATCACATTTCAGGGTCTATTTGCAAACTTATCTGAATTGTTGTGGATCTAATTTTACAGATCTTACTTACACCATACTCCCTTTGAAATAGGCAGGAGTGTGACTTGAGTAAGCACTATAAAATTAGAGCCTGTTTTCCTCTCAAAGTATGGTTACTTTTATAAACAGGTGATTTCAAAAGTTAATGCCATAAAACCTCTAGATAATCTAAAATAGAATGATTCCATAACAAATAAAACATTGAAATGGGGGAAAAAGTGATCTGCTTAGAAGAAGTTGCTTTCTTCTTACTCAGAAACTAACAACAAGCATAATTTAAAAATAATGATAAAATATAGAATTATTACTGACAATGACAGTGTAGATGTTGGGCAAAAAAAAAAAAAAAAAACTGGTGAGATATATAAGCATATGATACTCATATTTTAGGCCTCCTGGAAGCAGCCAGTGTTCAACCAGTTTGGTTTTTATATGGCCTTCAAAGATTTATGTCAATTATCATTACTTCAAAATTTAAAAGTTACCTGATTGTTGATCAAAAAATATGAAATGAATAAAAAGAAAACAAACAAACAAACATACCATGTTCACACACAAAAGAAAATAATTCTCTCGGGGACATCAGGGAAGGTGGAATACTATAACAACACATGTTATATTGTTATACTATTCCACCCACCTTAATGAGGAACCCTTGGGCGTTGCTACTCCATAGCCTTTCGAATCCAGATTTCCTCCCACTTTCATCGTGTCACATGGCTTTCGCTGCTCAATGTATTCATTCATAGTGGACTCCAGAAGAAAGGCAAATTTGCCCTTGGATTTGCGGACACGAGCTACTCCCTCAGCTGTGGTCCTAGTGAACACCGATGGCTCTGCTGATCGCATGTAGGTCCACATCTTTTCATACACTGCTATTTTTGATCTCTGGAGGAAATGAAAATAAAATTAAATACAGGAAAAAAGAGAACAACATGTTAATATTGACTGAAGCAAGATGGGGATAAAGGCTTTTAGTATCTTTCCACTCCCCCCGCCGCCCAGTTCCCGCTTGCCCTACACTAACACAGTAGTTAGAGGATATTACTTTTTAATAACTAGAAAACTGTCCTTTGAACTGTTTAGGAAAATCATTGAAATGGCAGATATATAAAGATATGCATTTCTTTCAGTAAGAATTACCACAGTCAACTGCTTAAATAGTAACTTTTTTTTCAGATGTAGAAAGCCATGAAGAACACTGAGCATTTAAAATCTTGTTTTATGTTGTGTTCACGATAAATGTAAAAGGCCCGTGGACTTGATTTCAGATTTGTAAAATTCTATTTAATGCTGTACTCAAGTTACAACAACAATAAGAACTGTTATATCCATTGTTCATGCTGCAAAATAGGGTGCATAAAAAGTTCAGTTTCTATCAAGTCAATAAGTGAACACTGAAGAAGGAGAAAAACTTGACTAACAGTTATAAACCAACTATACACCACAGAAGAACCAAATTCTAGGCTCGTCAAAACATTATTTAACTCTTTCTGTCAGAATTTCCAAATAGGACATATACAGAGCTGTGAAGTGAATTGATTCCTGTTTTCCTGCTTTGTATTCTGGTGAGTTTATCATCTTTGTCTCCCATTTATTTCTTTTTAGAAATTACTTTTGTCTACCTGAGCTCTCTGTACGTTACTCCCACTAATTAATTTGCTTAGGTTATCATCTCCACTGGGCTCAGATGTTTTTTATTCATACATTTATATATAATGTAAAAACATATTCAAGTGAGCTCATGTTCCCGAAAGATTTATTTAGTAAGTTAGAAAAGCCCTATTGCTGTTCGAATGATTCATACAGACTTTATGATTACATTATTCAGTAAGACTTATAAAATTTATATATGGATCCAAATAAAAAGTAATGGAAATTTTATGTGTGAACCTAATTCTGAATAACATGCATATTTATTATATTAATCTTTCTTTTTATCAAATACAGAGTCCACTAAAATTAGTTCTTAAGTAGTCAACAAATATTCTGAATAGCAAATTAGGGATACATATTTTTGGGCAAAAGGAAATAATCCAGGTAGACAATAAAAAAAAAGAAAACAAATAAAAGTTGTTTTCAAAATTCTAATTTCAAAAGGTGGGAAATTAGTAATCAAAAAGCCTGTAATAAACCACTGAATGATTCACATATTTGAATAACAAAGAAGATGTATATTCAAATATTAACAAATATCAAGATGGGAAATAGATAGGCTTTATTGTATTATGAAATGTTTTTATGTTATGAACACTTGAAAAGTAGCTCATAACATACAGATTGTGATGAATGTATGTGTGTGTTTTCATATTAGAAAATTGTAGGCTAACATTATATATATATATATATATATATATATATATATTTTTTTTTTTTTTTTTTTTTTTTTTTTTTTTTTTTTTGGTGCTGGGGATTGAACTCATGATCTCTCGCTTGCCAGGCAGGCACTTAAGCCACTGAGCTAAATCCCCAGGCCTGGGTAACATTATATTTAATTCAATTTCAATTGCAAAGACACTTGCAAAGATTTTGTGTACTCTGCAGACAAAGGGAGGATTTAAAACTTCAGCTACAGGATCTACTGGGGAGGTGATATAGTCAGGGCTCACTCATTCCCCGCCTAAAAGGGGAGTTCTGGAGCCTCATTTTTCTGAGCAACCCCTTTGTGTTGTGTTCTTGAGTGTCTCCTATAGATATAGGTAAATCCTCCTGTCTCCTTTTAAAAAAATAAATAAGCTGGGTCTGGGAGTAGCCCATCAAGAAGAAGAAGCCAATTAGGTCTTCTGGTAAGAAGCGCAGGCAAGCCATGTGGGGCCCAGGAAGGGAGAAGCCATAAAGTAGCTCCTCTGAGCCTACCTGCACGCTTGGGCTGAGAATCCAAACCTCCTCACTTACCTCAAACAACCAGCTGGTTTAGGGACAGGCTGAGGTGATAGCAACTGAGGTACAAAAAAGCAACTGAATGCTTGTATTGTTTGGTTAACTTTGCAGACCTAGGCCCTGAGTATCCCTTGGGAGGATGACAAGTATGTAATACAGCAAATATGGGGGATTTCCTTCCGTTTTGTTTTGAAATCCAATATTGTTCTCACTGTTTTGTTTTGTTATGATTTATTGTTTTGTTTTTTTTAGTGTCCTGTTTTGATTGGCTTTATTCTGTTTTGATTGGTTTGATTTTGCTATGTCTGATGGAATGGACAACTATTATGAAGATAACCAGAAATATTATGGTAGCCAATGTTGATTTCCTATTATCCTGCTTTGAAGTTCTGAACCAATTTCACTGCTTTCTTTTGATCGGTTTTATTCTGTTTTGTTTTGTCGGGTTTTATTATCTTTAAAATGAAATAATTTTTAAAAATTTTAAATAAGTAAAAGTAGAGTTCCTTTTTAGAAAATCAACTCTTTTACTTTACAATGACTTCACAAAAATATTAATTTTCTGGATCACATGATAAAAGATTGTTCTCGTATACCTATTGTGATGATTTGCAATTCAGATGTGTTAATAAATAAATTCTTTAGATATATAATCACTTCTTAACTATATTTATAACTTTAGAGTTTCGCTCCAAAAAGTGTAAGTCCACACATATATTGTAGATTTAGCTGTAAGTAATATAGTGAAAACAGAAAAAATAAAACCAATGAGTACTGAATGAAGAGAACAGTTAAACCAAAACTAACAGCAAAATGGACAAAGTATTTTTACAGCTTGGTGCTACAGTCCATTGATATTTTAAGAATTCATTTCTATAATATTAATGTGAGAAAAATTACTACATTTGTTTAACTATATTGAATTATGTATTACTTAAAAGCAAAATACTTTGATCCAGTCTTTTTAAAAGGTGGAAGAAAGAGGAATCCAGAGTGGTTATGCTAGATTTAGGATGTCTAAGGTACCACAGAAACTGTGAAACCGAATCTCAGTGGAAAATAGAAGAAAAAGTATTTCTTTTTGAAGAAAAAAATTTAGTTTGGTTTGTCAACAGGTTAGTGTTTCAAAAATCTGATTCTGATTTCAAGGGACACCACTTGGATACGATCATTTTCACACGGGGACAGAGGGGAGGCAATCAAGAAGTGAAGGGTGAAAACTTTTTGTGCTTATTGTGTGACAGCCACACAGTGCTTGCTTTGGGGCGAAGGCAAAGAAGTATTTCTATGTTTGATAAGAGGGGCTAAAAGGAGGAAATTCTTGCAGACCCAGCTACCTCCTAAACGACTGAGTTTTTAAGGCCCTAAAGCCTTCAATGGTAGTACAGCACGTATGTACAAATCAAGTCAGGCACGGAAGTGTGCTCAAGGAAATAAGCAAAGATAATAAAAGACATAATTTCTCACAGTAGAAAATTAGTCTCTGAACTATTTGTTTCACACATATTGTAAAACAAGGATCAGGAAACTCTGATTTAAAACATTCTATTAGTTAAAATGTTTCTTGGAGTTTTACAACTGTGCTATTCTTTTAATTTCTAAAAAATGAAGTATTTTCCTATACCTGCTTGTAAAACAAACTATAAACACCACACATTTTAGTTAATGTTTACATTGCTGCCAGGTGAATTCCTTTTTTCTTCTAGCAGCTTCTGCAGCAAGACTGTGTTTTATTCTAGTGAGAGCTCATCAGTGTGTTATTTGACGATATGCTAAACCCTGAGATAGTAATCCACCTTCTTTATGCATTGATGATTTCACTGATGAGTGGAACTCGCAGATGATAAAATCTGCATTGAAATGAAAATCAGTGTGTTTGATTCAGGTGTATAATGAAAAAGTATCTAAACAGAAAGGCTGTCATTAAGTGACAAGTGACATTCCTTAAATGACTGTGTTTGTGCATAACAAGGTGTGCAGAGCATGAAGCATATCAAGTTTCATAATGGGACAAAACCAATGCACGGTTGAATTTGGGTATAATTTTCCCCCATGGCCTACTTCTTTCTTCAGTTGATTACACCTGCTACATTTTTTTGAGAGCTGAGTATAGGTCACTGCCTGAGGCAGCTTTGTGGAGCTGACAGATGTGCCATTACTTTGCCTTTACGAGAAAACATTTTTGACAAGTACCAAAATACCCTTCATGTTCTGTTTCTTCAGCCCATCTGACAAATGGTTATTGAAACCAGGTCATCATGTGTAGAAAATGAGTGAAGGAAATCAGGTAGGAAATGAATGAAATTTTTATCAGAAAACCCAAATTTATGCATTCCTGAAAGTATGCTGCTATGGAAAGTTACTTTCTAGTCCCGTTAGGGCCCAGAGAATTCTGCAAAAATAAATACCTATACTTACAAAAGTCTTCCAACTGAAAAACTGAGGTTGAGAAGAAGAGAAAGGAAACAGGGCCTGGTTTGGAAGACTAAACTTAGGAAGCAGCTTTCATTGTTCCTGAATTTCTTAACAATATATTGTCTTATCTGCCTTACCAGTGTTAGGAACTTGATCAGTTTCTTAAAAACTTACAAACTTTAGAAATAAGTATTTTTGGTGTAGTTCATGTAAAAGACTACACAGTAAGTTATTTCTGAAACCTTTTTAGTGAGCCAACAAGATATTTATTTTTCTGTTTATCGCACAGGCAGATAGATGATAAACGTGCAAATATTTCCTTTATTAAATGATAATCAGTCATCACTTTTCAGCAAAATGCAAGTGACCATAGAAACCTGCATTTATTTTACTGCATACACAGAATGGTTTCCAGGTAAAATCAGTGAATTTTGTCTACTGAATTCTGGGTGGAAGCAATTTCAGAGTGACAGATTTTCAACTGTGTACCAGCATTATGTTAGAATGCATTACAGTATTAGGTTTTTATTGCTAAGTGTGGGGATGAGGATGCACTCACTAAGTTAAAGACATTTGGTAAATTAACTATATTTGGAGAGTATACTGTCATAACAAAATTTTTAAAAATCTACAATTTTTTTAAAGGTTTATGCAGTTATATCTAATAAAAGTGTTCCAAATTATGGACAACAATGTTACTCACCATTGTTTTTTTTTTTTTTTTTTTTAGGCAATGCCCAAGAATGAGTTCAACTGAATTTTTTTTTTTTTTTGTACCAGGAATCAAGTTTTTCTTGTTTTAGTTCATGTTAAATAGTACATTAAAATCAAATCTTTTTAAAAAAGCACATCTCAAGAACATAAAATTTCAAACTGGTTAAGTAGTAGCACATTATATTGCTTTTACTTTTCAAGTTCAGTGAAAAAAATTATGTGTATATGTTTAAAGTGAAAATTAAATCTCTAAAATATTTGAGTAAGTCTGACTATTAAATAAGCAACACTTATATATAAAAGCATAGGAAATGGTGAAATATATCATGTTTTCTACACCAAAGAATATTCTAATCTTTAGACCAATGATGCCAATTATAAAATGTATTCATTATTACCTACTTCATAATTATGAAAATATATCTAACTACTTTTTCAGTTTTCAATTCTGAACTCTTTTCTGTGGCCAGATATTACCATATACGTATCTTTGGATTTAAAGAGAACCAAAATAGAAAAAGTGTTCACTGATCAAAAAACTCAACCCCATAATGCATCAAACAACTAAATACAACAATGGTAACAACAACAACAACAACAACAACAACAACAACTTGTGTACACTTATGGAAAGACGAAGAAACTCATCTACCTATGTAGTGCAATTTTACCAGTTTGAATCAGCACAAGTGAAATATCATACCGTCAAATGCCCAGAACTTATGGTTTTGCTACTATCGTCCTATGAGAAAGTAAACATGTTGCTTTGAATTGATAGAAAACATCTTACAGAATAATGTAACTTATAGAAGCAGTACAATCTGTAGTTAAGGTTTTGAAGTCATAGACATTTGCAAGACTTTTTGAACAGAACCCAGTTGCACAGGAAATACTGTAGTACTGAGCAACATCAAATTAAAGTTTCTGCACAGTCAAGGAAATAACGGACAGAAGGAAGACACAAATGACAAAGGACAAAAAACCTGGCAGTTATTCCTCAGAGGATTAATACCTAGAATATATAGAAAGCTCAAAAATATTAGACCCCTCAAAATAAAAGACTCAGTCTAAAATTCGGCAAGTGAAATGAATAGACACTTCATAAAGAAAAGTAAAAATGACCGATAAGTACATGAAGAAATACTCAACATCACTGGCCATTAGAAAAATGCAAATTAAAACAACCCTGAGATTCCTTCTTACTCCAGAAAGGCTATCACCAAGAAATCAAATAATAATACTGAGAAGACTGTAGGGAAAAAGGAACCCTTCCACACTGCTGGTGGGAGTATAAACTAGTTCAGTCACAATGGGAATAATACGGAGGCAATGCAAAAAACCCTGAAACGAGAAATTCCATTTGACCCAGCTATTATCTTTCTAGGTATATTCTTGAAGGAATGAAAGACATCATATTATAGCAATACACGCATACTCATGTTTATAGAAGCACAGTTCATAACAGGTAAATCTTGGAAGTAGCCTAGACGTCCATCAACAGATGAACATATAAAGAAAATGGGATATTTGTACCCAATGGAGAATTACTCTGCCATAAAGAAGGATAAACTTGACTCATTTGTATGAGGCAAAATGAATGCACCTTAAGACCATAATGTTAAGTAAAATAAATCACACACACAAACTTAAATATTGTATGGCTTCTCTTATATGAGAAACTCACAAAGAGCACAGCAAAAATATAGATAATAGGAAGTGGTAGATCATTCTGCAGGGGCGGGGAATCAAGAGAGAGACCGAGTGTGGAAAAAGGGAGGGAAAGGAATGGGCGTGTTATATACACGTGCCAGCTCCACACGAGGAATATAAACTCTATGTACTGGAAACATGCAGGGAAGGAAGGAAGGAGAGAGAGAGAGAGAGAGAGAGAGAGAGAGAGAGAGAGAGAGAGAGAGAAGAGGGGAGATAAAAAGAGGGATAGAGGATGGAAAAAGGAATTGCGGTATATTAGGTAAATGTATCAATTGCTCACAAGAAATGTAAATATTATGTACTACAAACATTTACTAAAGAAAAGAAAATAGTAAAATGTGCTTTCATTTTTATACTCTAAGCCCCAAAGCAAACATAAATCCAATCTTGTCCAATCCAGTATTACCACAGCATGATCAACACTGGAAAGCTTTGGAAAAATTACATTATAAATTTGCTTTGATTACCTTTTCACTGTTATTATTTCTTAAAGGCTTCCTCCTGCAGAATGAATCAATCCATTAGCTTTTTAAATGAAAGTCATTATAAAGTTCAGGAAGTATTAGTATTGGACATAACTTTTACCATTATGTGTGAAGAATCTATGAAAGCTAAAATCATAATATGATTCTTGGACAAATAATCTGAATTTCAAAGTTATGAACATATGTCATCATTAGTCTTTCCCTGAACTTACTCTAAAGAATTCTTTTGTTGACCCTGAATCCAGTGTTCCATACGCAATTTCTGTTTGTTTGGCCAAGTCTTCTGCGCTTTCTATGGGGGAGACCATTCTCTCAACCGTCAGGAAAGCAGCCAAGTTAGCAGTATAAGATGATATAATGATGAGGGTAAAGAACCACCAAACACCTCCAACAATTCGACCTGAGAGGGATCTAAACATGAATAGGATAATTCACATTGTTGTTTCTCTAAGCAACATACAGAAAGAAGATATGTCAGTTTCATCAAGCATTCTTAAAAATAATAATTGCAAGTTTCATTTATTTTCTGACAATCAACTCAAGAAAGATGTTAATATTTCCTTATAATCTTATGGCGTTTATGCTGTACTGAATACATGTGCCACTGAAAGTATGGAGACCTTTTCTATTTAATGCTTAACTAGCAGACATGTGGAACTTAATGACTTTATTTTAGATAAACAAAAGGAACACTTCCTTAAATTCATTACTACCCTCTTTCACTCATATTTCAGGCTTTCTGAAATTAGTTACAGCCTAAGGTTGATGAGATAAATGTGAGGCAATGATTTAGGTGGCAAGACTGTTTCATCGCTTAGTTGGACATAAAATAGCAGCACCTCTGGACAATGATGGGGTCCTAGAGTCAGTGCAAGTCTGTGGCTGCTTTTTCGTAGGGAGAGAAACACTGTCTTTAGCTTCACTGAGAGCCCTGCCCAGGGAGCAAGGCCACGCTTCACAGGAGGCTGGACAAGATGGAGGCTTGGGATTGGTTTCAAACTGACCATACTTCCATACTTCAGAATTGTCTCTGCATTTGGTACTCAGTTTCTGAGATGAGCAGAGGGTGAGATAGTGTATGCCATAAAGTATCTTATATAAGGGAACGAAAGTGTTCTTCCTACATTTGCTCTTTGGCTATCAGAAACTGAGTGTGAGTATAGAAGAAAAGTTAAAAACAGATGACTGAAGAGATACAGGAAACTTTTACTCATTGGGACTATCAAACTATTTTAAATTCTTGCGGCAAATCATTTTTAGATTTAAAAATGTCTTGTGTATAATCTGAGATCTTTTGTAGGCTAAGGCAGGAGAATCTCAATTGAGCCCAGCCTGGGCAATTTAATGACTTAGCAAGATTCTGTATCAAAATAAAAATTAATAAGGGCTAGGGATGTAGTTTGGTGTAAATGTCCTGGGTTCAGATCTCTCTCTCTCTTTCTCTCTCTCTCTCACACACACACACATACACTGATTATTTTTTTAAGTGTGAATGATCGTTCCGTATTTCCCAAGGTACTTCTAATTTTAAAGTGCTGTCTTACTACTTGTTATTGTATGTGATACTTCTCGGTTTTAACTTAATATTTCCTTAATCTTGTCTTTTAAAAACCATTATGTCATTTGCTTTGATGCTAATTCGTTTAATTGAAAATTATTGATTCAGTTTCTCATGTTGTTGGAATTTAAGGGCATTTATCATTTTGCTGGTTTTTATGAAGCACATGGCCACATTATAGAAAAAATATTACTTTTTGAAAAAGCAAATTAGTGATGCTAACACGCAATCAAAATTAAATTCAACATTTTGCTTTTCATGCTTTATTTTCCCTGTGGGAGAAGTTGGGAAATTTTCTTGCAGTGGGAGATAAGCTAAGTTTTAGGGAGCACAGAAAATGAATAATGGTATCCAATAAAAGGATCCATGCATCCCCAGGTCCTGAAAAATATTTCTAAGCAACTAGCATTTATTACCTTGTTGGCATTTTTCCTACTGCTTAGCTTATTTATGTGTTGTTACATAAAACAATATATCTTGTACAAATCACATTGACTTACTGTTTAGGAAATTCCACGACAGAAATCTCCCTTAAACCATTTGAGCTGATTAAGTTCAACATTTATTTTTAACATTGGAAAACAACAGTAGCAACAGAAACAATATTCATCTTTGAAAAGGATACAAAATTAAAAAATGAATGCCTCTTCTGCAGTTTAGGTTTTCTTCCTTTCCTTACTAGGGGTAGAACACCAGATCCTTCACACTAAAAACTGCCTTTCCAGCCCTTAAATTTTTTTAAATTTAGAGATAAAAGTCTTGCTAAATCATTAAATTGCCAGAACTGTACTCATTCACACTTGCTATTGTCCTGCCTCAGCCTCCCAGCGTGCTGGGACTGCAAGCATGCAACACCAGTTTAGTTTCCATCTGTGAAACCACTGAATGCAATATTGATATAAAATAATTTTTAAGTTCCCACGGTTTGACTATTTACTTTTCTGTTGAGAAATTTAATCATTATGCTCTAGAGTATCTATGTTTTGTGCCAGTTTGGAAGAAACTGGCTATGAACATACTTACATCAATGAGAATTGTTGATTTCCTCTGAGTTTAGAACTGTGCTCTGCCTCCAGAAGAACACAGACAGATACTCTGTACAACATTCAGAATTACTGGGAACTTGGTGAGCAATGTGAGTTTTGAAACTAACCTTGGTGAAATGTCACATCCTTGTTGCATAAAAGCACCAAGGGAAAACCAGAGGCTGTTAAAGATGCCAAACTCATTGGGAGGCTGGTCACTGGGTCCTTCCTTTCCATCCTCCGGCTCTTCTGTGTGCCACTCATAGGGGCTAAACCTGCTCACTAGGAACAAGACCACACTGACCCCGATGTAGGCAAAGACTATGCACATCCATATCTCATAGGCCAGAGGGTCCAGGAAGGAGAACACTCCGGGCTTTGACTTCTGAGGCTTCTTGATCATGATAGAGATGCCCAAGCTCATGAAGGGCTTGGAGAAGTCAATGACCTCTTCCCGAACCAAAGTGATTGTCAGAGGTGCAATAGCAATCTCCGCTTTCTGTAAGAAAAAAGACACAGGGGACACATAGATTAGTGAATTTGAAGAAGCACTGGAGTGATACAAAGTTAGCCAATCATGTATTCATCCTGAAGTTTTCAAGTGCCAAAGTGAAAAATAATTCCAATTATAAATAAGAACATGAATGGTAATTTGTTTCCGTAAGATATTACTTGAATGACATAAAGTATTTTTAATATAGCGAGCAGTTAGATAAAAAGATGAGAAACAGAGAGTGGATGCACAGAAGTAACTTCAACTCACATCACTGTTACGACTTTTTGAGGGTTGAAATAGTGCGGAGGAAAAGACTTAATAGTTTTGCCATATGGCTGTGTTTCTGAATTTCTTGGCAGGAATGCAGCTATGCAGCAGCCTTTTCTGTTTCATTTGGAATGTTGCCCCCAATTCATTACTTAGCCACCCTTAATGTTAGGAATTGCAAATTTCAAACAGTCCTTTCTTATTTATTCCTTTCCAATTACAAGAAAACTGATCCTAGAGTCTGTGTTTATATGATAAAAGAAAACCCATTGTTTGACAACATTTTCCAACTCATTGCACACACAAAAATCTGGAAATTGGCATTTATTTCTTGCTATGCACACACTTTGATTTTCTGCTTCCAATTTTTGAAAAAGACTTTGGAACACAGTAGTTTCAATTCTGATATTATGATCAGAATAAACCAGCTTCCTTTTCCAGTTTTGTGATTTTGAGCAATTTTTTGAGCCGCTTTCTGTATCTTCAAAATGGTCCATTTAAACTTCCTAACAGTCTTATGTTTGTCATTGTCTTCTAGATGATGGAATTAGGTCACATAAAGATGGACCTTACACATGTGGCAGCTCTGAATCTGAGCCTATTGAACCATATCACCTCTAAAATCAAATGAAATAAAACGGTGTAAAAACTAAACTGTCATACACTCCACAAGTAAAATGTTATAATTATTTATCTTAAAAGAAAAATATTTAATTCTGATAGGGAATCAGAAACATAGCCATACACATGAAAGGCTGCCACGCTTACATTCACTCCTGTATCCTCTAGAGCTTCTGAGTTGATGTCAGAGCCCCTGCTCAACCAAAGGGCAGTGAAGGGCAAGGATGGCGCGGGGACCGCCCTGCAGTCATGTCTCTGTTGGGAGACTGTATCTTCAAGTAGGAGCAAATAATTTTCCTCATAAATGCTCACACACAGAAGACCCAGAAGTACTAGAGAGACTGTTATTTTCATCATGTTAGTATTGTTGGTATCATTTCCCTTACCTAAAGAATGTATGAATTTGCTACAGAAAAATTAGTATATAAAAATAACAGATTCAACAAATCAGGACGTTATCTTGTTCCCCTTGCCTACTTTGCATTCTTTCTGAATGCCCCCAATAGACTTTGCTTTATAAATATTTTTATTATTTTAAAAATAGAACATTATAAAACACTATTTTTTTCTTCTCAATGAGTATGATGAATGTTTTCAACTTAAACATACAGATTAAAGCTTTCAAATATTTCATCAAACTAAACGATCAAAAGGTACTCAAATTTATGTCTTGTGGGATGTTTGTAAGGCTTCTAGCTTTATACAATTTAAAATGATAGCTGCAAACATTTTTAAAGACAAGTTTGCAGACATAATGTAGTCATTTAAAATAAATCTCCAGGGTTGGCAAAATACTCAGTGGTAACCAGATAGTCATGCACGAGTGAGACCCTGTGTCCAGTCTCCAGCAATGAAAAAAGTCTAGAAAAGGAACTCTAGATTCTGGTCTAACTAGTAATGACTTTTTCAATGCTTATGATGTATTTTCCCTTCCTTTTCTCCAGAAAGATGATGCAAGCATCTTCTGTCACCAACAGGACATGAAAGGACCTGTAGCTTTGATCCTCAGAAACCTCCTGTTGTTTTCTTACATATCTTTGCCAATTTTCTTTATGAAAGAATTCATCATAGTAATTGAAATTTGTTTTTATAAGGTAAGTAGCTCTTTTTACTTCTTTTATGCATTGTCTATCATACTGTGATCCCACCTTCTACAAGGACACTAATTTTTGGTTTTCCAATTTGTGGACAGTTTAAAACAAATTTGAGTATCAACTTTTATTTTCCATATATGTTACAAATATTTTCCCTATTCATTAGCTGTTTTATTTCCATAACTTACTTCATGGTACTTTAGTATAATACATAGTTTTATTATACATATTTGTGTAATGATCATTCTCCTCATGGGAAGTGGGTACATGTATATAATACATCTTAATTCTTTTTTAATCCCTTTCTTTCCCCTCTTTTCCTCCTTCCTCCCTTAATGTCTTGTACCCTTTTTCTTTGTAAAAATCTACCTCCCCTTTATCTATAATACATATTTCATTTCACTCTTTGTTTGTGTTTGGAGTTTCATGTATTTTAAATTTTTTTGTATGTATACAAAATTCTTTTTTGTTTCCAGTCCTTGTTTCATGCTTTAGAATTACCCTTCTTATTATCATATTTATAACCTAAAATTTATTTAGTATAATTCATGATAAACCATAGCAAGATTATTAATATTCCAAGTAGTTGTCCTTCTTTCCTAACAGGAATGGATAAAAAATGTGCCCTTTCACTGACTTGAAATATCTCCTTTCATGTATTATATTTTTCTGTATAGAATCAACTGAAAATTTTCATTTATACAAGTTACCATCAAAGGCAGAGGAGAACCTTAAATAGAAAGATAAGAAAAATGAAATGAAAGTGTTCTGAGAAATAGATGCAGTGGACAGTGAATATTGGGTGACGGTGGTGACAGAAATGTCTATTGAGGATACCTGAGATTTGTGAGTTTCAAAAAAACATGGTTAAAAACCAGAATCTACATGGATTTTCTCTGCTAACGCTAGGGATGTTATATGTCTCTTGTTAATAACTGTCAGTGTGTACTAAAAGTGGGTATATAAAAAGTTTCTTTTAGGGGTTGCACAAGATTTATGACCTCTAGCGCTGCTTGAGTGAGGTTGGTAAAGCAATATTTCCACATGTACTGCATGCAGGTGTGTCCGTGCCAGAGAGCTATGCAGTGTGCTTTGAGAAATACTCCCTTGCATTAGGACACTAACAGCAACTAAAAATGAAAAAAGAAAAGAAAAAAGAACGAGAAGGAGGAGGGGCCCAGGTGAGGCATGGAGCAGCAATACTCAGTGGGAAATAAGCACACTGCTAGAGTGCACAGATGTGATCACAAAAAGGGTCTCAGCGTATGAGAGGTTCTGAGGTTTTGTGTACCTCTGTGGTGATGTTTCACAATCCACATCAATTATAGCTGCAACACTTGCAGAGTAAGTAAAAACAAGTAATAGATTTGAAGTTAATCATTGAAATGGATTCAAAATTAATCATCTGGCTGTATTCAGAATAAGACAATGAATTGAATTTTATCTGAAGAGGAGGAAGTGGGCATTCCTGCATGTATTAGCAGGAAGAAAAAGATTGATTAGCTGCTGCTAGGACAGACTTTGTAGACAGCAGGGAAAAGTACAAAATCTGTGGAAAGCTTAAGAGACATAGAAGAAGATTCTCTCAGGGACATAAGTAGGCAGTTACAGTGTCAGAGGCTGAAATCTTTAAATACTTAGATTGGCTGTAGAAAGATTATGTTGTTGTCAATAACCATTATGTTAACTTTTTTCTCTATGACTTTGGGACTTTGTGATACCATGGCATGAATAGTACTGATATGTTCTTATTGATTGTGCTGTTCTCTTGCTATCATTCATTTTAATTATTTAAAGTCCACCCCGCACAGCCAGGGTTTTAGCACAGTGGCATAAGCACATGCCTGACAAGCATGAGGTCGAGTTTGATCCCAGGTACCACCAAAAAAAAAAAAAATCTATTCCCAAAACAAAACATGATCAGAACACTTACAAAGGCTTGGACTTGGACTGTCCACCCGCAAGATAGGGACTCTAGAGGAGAAATATGTAACAAATGCTCTCAGAAAGTAACTCAGGTTAGTTAGGCTGCCTATAACTAGTAAGTAACCTAAGTATAATTTTTCAGATGAAAAGCTTAATAGTATTTTGAAAAGGCATTGAATTATTGTATAAATTTGAGCATCTCTAAAATCTCAAATGCTCCACAATCTGAAACTTCTGATCAGTGACATGATGCTTGCTACCAGTGGAAAATTCCACACCTTGCCTCACGTGATTGATTACAATCAAAACATGGGTCCAAGCACAGAAAGTCTGTTTCATGCACAATATTATCTTACAATATTTTATACAATTACTTTCAAGCTAAGTTTAAAATACGTGTGTGAAATATAAATAAATTTTGTCTAGTCCCTAGAAATCTGATTATTCTTAAATCTGGAAAAAGTAGATAATGTCTGTGTCTGAAAATTGCTTACTGTTTAAAAAGTTTAAGATATTAGCGAAAGAACAGATTTATATTGGGAAGCTTTTTTTCTTTGAATTTTAAGAATCAGGGAATCTTCTGCTAAAGTATGTTTTGCCTTTTTAAAAACTATCTTTTCTCCCTCATTTATGGTCGTCATCTAAGCAGTCAGAAATTCTTTCTTATAGATATAAAACTGATTGCTTTATAATGTCAAACAAAATTTCCTCTTTCTGCTAGGCTGTAGCTACTGTATTGTACCACACTGAAAATATTCGTTGCTTTATGGTCTGAAAAGCGAGATGCAGAATCATGAAACTATCCAATGCAGTGCAGATAGGAAAGTGAGTCTCTCTGGATTTTAGATATATCCTAAATATTTTTATCTTTACTCTATTCCAAGATGACTCTCTGTGTCATTCAACATTTCAAAGGGCCCTCAAGAGGATTAATCAGATGTATGCATTGAAAGTGAAATCTGTGAAATCCAAATTGACTTTCAGGACATTTCAGAATGTATTTCAAGTATATGGTATCCTTTGTAATTACATGACAAACCAGGATTACTGTTAGCTATTGATCTGACTCTGGACTTTAAAATACTACATCATCTCTAGCATTGTGTAAGTGCGGGTTTCATTTTGACACTGCAGTGGTAGCTCAAGAGAGAGATTTCGCTCTTATTCATTTAGGCACTAATGTTAGCGGCTGCATCTGCCCTTGGCTAACCATGTGCCCACTTAGTACTTGGCACACACAGGAGAGGGCGTGTGTGCTTTGTGGGAGGCTTATTTCAGACAAATTTCTGGCCTTTGTGTTTTATTATGTATGCTGGTATGAAAAATGATGGCATTACATAAAGTTTACATGTACTGTGTTCTGCAGAACTGTAAAAATATTGAATTATGGGTGAATATTTTATAGAAACTATTGTAGTGATCATCAATTACTTAAAAGATGCTTATAAGTATTTACAAGTAACAGAGATATAAATAACTAGTCAAATAATAAACCAACATTACATTGCTTAAAGAAATCTATTCCTATAATTACCAAATAAGAGATTTACTAATATAATTCTGTGGTGTAGCGACATCAATCTGCAGGGAGCAGTCATCTCAGATCCTGAAGTCTGTGTTTCTCTTTGTTTTTAAGTAGGAAAGCATATTCTGAATTTTTATCCCTTTTCTGACTTCGAAGTTATTAAATATCAGTTTCATTACTCAAAAATCACATTTTTCAGGAAATAAGGAAACATTTGAATACTATTCATGGCTCTTGGAACATAATTGTGAATTTTAAAAACAATAGAAGACATTTAAAACTTGATAAGAACCCAAGTGAAAAAAAGTTTCATGGTAACATAAGTAGATTTTTCAATAAATTGATTTGCTTACCCCGTAAACAAGTTCTCCTACCATCCCATTCCAGATTTTTGTATCTGCATCCCTCGCTCCATATTTTCCATCAGGGACAATGGCAATTTTGTACTTGATACCAATATGTTTTGCAATTTCAGATGCCAAATCTACACAGTATCCTTCATACTTGTCATTTCCTTCAAACATTTCATGATTTTTCTTGTACATAACGTATGGGGATTCCTATAACGAGAGAAGGATAACTGTAAAGGAGAAACTACGAAACATTTGAAAGTCTTCGTGTCACTTTACAGCTTCAGAATTTGAGAAATAAGGTATATTTGCTATTGCATACATACGATTTTATGTGACTAGAAAGAAATAATAAGATAGATACAAATCTACTTGGAAGTATATAAACTGCTCTATCTTGGATACTGAAAGTAAAGTATTTAAAATAATTTTCAGTTGAATAATAGGTAATTAGAAAAATGTCCATTAGTAATTTTCTAGGGAAGCATAAATATCTTCTTTGACGATTAAATTATTCTTCCCAAAATATACTGTGAAATTATAGATTATTCAATATTCAACTTTATATAATACCAAACACATTCAGGATCAAATAGCTCAATAGTCTGCATTTGTAAGCCACATTTCACTGTGTCTTTTAAGAAAAGGCTATATAAACTTTCTTTGATCTCTAATATTTAGCAACAACACTAATTTTCTGTACAATTGTTCAACAAAAATAAGTTAATAACTTTAAAAATCATATAAATTCATTTGCTAATTTTGTTCAATGTTTTGGCATTAACTGTGCTTCATGACTTTTAAGTCTATTATAAAATATGTCTCTAATGGAAAATAGCAATTTTTCCCAATATTGATGTTGTCATTTAGTTTTCTAAGCAACTGAGTCAGAAAGTAGGATGAAGAATCATTGTGAGCATCCATAAAAAATAAATCATTTACCAGTAGCTAGTGACTACCAAAGAGTTTGTACTTGGAACACAAACAGCACCTCCACACACACACTCACAGTCAAACCATTTAAAGACTGTAATTAAAGAGATTTGTTTACAAAAACTGTTTAAATTTGTAAATGACACCTAAAGTCAGCTGTGTGCGCAGTAGACAAAACTCCTAGTCATGTCCAATTTTTCCAGAGAAGGACTGATAACCTTTCGGTCATGGTATTATTGACATAACATACTTGCCTTTTATAAAATTATACTCTTCATTTAGTAAGTTTCTTTGAGACAGGTTTTACTGTGTAGCTCAGCCTGACCTTGAACATAGCTTAAGCTGTCTCAAATTCACAGTGATTCCTCTACTTAAGCCTTCAAAGGGCTGAGATTAAAAGTATGCACGACCACTTACAACGAGCAATTGTTCTAAAAAAAACCCTTTATTTTCCCTTAGAAAATTCACAATCATGTGTGGCAGTTGTTCTTGGAATTCTGAATTAGAGAGTTATTTACTTTGCATAATATGACAGTCCTACACTAATTCTGACTTTAAGTACTTTGTAAATGTAGAACTCCATTTAACAACACTTAATAAAATGTGTAAACTGCATGACATTTCATTTTCTCATAGATATTCTAAGTAATTCTACAGTGTAGACTTCTCCAGGATTGACCTTCATACTATTTTCTTAAATCTTACCTATACTTGGCATGACCAAAGGGTCTCACTTTTTGAATTTGATGAATATTCTAATACTGGATTTGGTTAAATAATGTGTCTCTACCCTCTATAAAATGAAAACAACTAACCATCTCTTCTCTAGATAGATAAAAATTATTAGTTCACAGAAAACATTTTGTAAATTTATAAGGTTTGAATTTGTAAAAGTGATTATGAAGATGGATGAGTTGTTGCAAAACATTGTTAATTTCTAAAATATGTTATAAAAGTAGTTATGAGCTAATTCTTGGTTTTCTTTTTTTAAATAGTTATCTAATTGTACAATATGGAAGATTATGTAAGAAAAAGAAAAAAGTCATATATTTGTAAATGGCTTTGCATTCTAATTTAAGTGTCTGTACAGCTGGCATCCCTAAGAAGCTTATGACTCATTCAAAACATGGATAGCTAAGGCACATTGGATACTAAAGAAGAAAATCAGACCCACAGTGTCTGAGTATCTGAACACTCGCAAACCTGTTTCTCACTTATATACGCTGCCATATTAACATGTAACATGTATAGAAGTTTCTAGAGCCCCAATAATCTAACCACTTAATTCTCTCTTCATAATGTAGTGAAACTTTTGTTAATTAAAACTGTGTGTTTATTGTTTAATCAAATATTTATTAAGTACCTACTGTAGGTCAGGCAATTTTTTGGAAGATATAGGCACACATTTTTATTTTTACAAGTTTTTAGAAAATGTCCCTTGTTCTGTTATGTTCAAAGTAATTGCAAATTCTCTGTAACAAGGTTAAAGGAGTGTGAATGGGAGGATCAATGATAAAATGTAATGAAAACAGTAATAAATCTTACTTAACTTTGCTCTGTGTCAGTCACAATGCTAAACTCTTTAATTATGCCCTCTGATTCATTTTACACATTGACACTGTGAAGTAGAAATTTCCTATTTTACAGATGGGGAAGTTAAGACTCACAGGCAAAACAATTGTTCGGTTTTACAGAGAAAACAAGTGACAGACCTAACTTCTGCATGTGAGTTTGGCCCACACTTTGAAATATCTGCAAATTGTTGAAGCTATTATTGCACATCAAAGTATATGCAACTATTGAGACTCTAGGTGACTTAAGCAAAGAGGGAGCAAAAGAAATGTATTCCGCATCTCTGGAATATGAAATTTTTTATATGTTTTTTGGTAAAAATACAGGTCCACTTTCAATTATCCTCATGGTGTGTGGCACATTAAAAACACTCAGTAAATGTACAGATACCTTGTTCTATCAGTGCTTCTTACAGAATACGATTGCTAAGTAATCACATTAGAACTTCTGATTTAGATTTTCAAAGTGAAACTAAGTATTTTAAAGTGCTAGGTCATCTGTTCTGAAGCAGGCATATGCATATATGAGTAAAGTATTTCCTCAGTGTCTTCTCTCTCAGTTTTTCTTGTGTATAGTTGGAGCCCATCTGCCCTTTGCTCTTTGTTTTCCTGCCAAGCACAGCCAACAAAGCTAGAAAAACTTTTAGTTTACTGAAGATGTTGGCTGCAAATTTATCCAGCCTGTTTGCACAACCAGGGCCATAAACAGAGACTGAGACTTCAGTGAGTAGTGCATGCAGCATAAGAGAAAAGAGATCCCACTGTGAGGGAGAGAAAGGTTGGGCTTTTCCTGCATCACAGCTTTCATGGCTACTCAGCTCTATCCCATTACTTTGAGTGTGTCTCATTTTGCTTTTCTTTCATGTCAGATCCAAAGCAGATTCTTAACACTGCAAACCTCACTTGCCCTCTCCCAAAGCTGACATGCACACAGTCTTGCGTGTAGCTCTTGAAACACTACGTACTGGCGAGATTTAACACAGAGTTTTAGATTTACTATGGGTGAACGAAATATGAAATCTTTTCAATATTATAAGTGACATTTTGAAAAACATTGAGGGATAAGGGAGTATTTTTGAATGTTAATCTATATAGAGCCCCTAGTGTTTGGTTGTAGATAGAAATGAAAGGATGAGAGGAGTGAAACACGATCTTTCACCTTGTTCTTGAGTGCAATCTTCTTTTGTTATTATAAATTACTGCATTCTGTAGGACACTAATTCTTCAGAAGCCATTTTAAATGCATTATTTCTTAGTGATAACAAGTATATTAAGGCAAGTTTACAAGTAAAATAGATGGTGTCCTACATCTGTTCTGTTACTTCAGAAATCACTGTGTCTAAAGTAGCAACATTAGGACTTGGCTATGAAAATGTTTATGTAAATCAATTTAGATGACTTTTAAACAATAGAGTACAATTTTTATACTTATATAATTTCAAATATTATTTGTATTTAGCAAAACAAAATATTCAAAGAAGATGCACACTGGAAAGGCTTTAAGATTTTCTAAATATCGCATATAACCTTTACACTTACTATTAAAATAATCAAATATAATAAAATAAACTGGGTCAATCTTTGTTTCCATTGTGAATATTTGATTTCTCCAAAAAATGTTAATGAATATAGACAATTTATTCCATGAATTAAATTCTTAAAAGTGGAAATTCTGGTGTTATCATTCAATTTGGGAAAAATGAATGAACTTAATGGTTTTACAATTTTAAATTTGGCCAAAATAATGTATTTTGAAGCAAACTGAGTTATGAGCCCTTTAGTAAGAGGAAAATGTGAAAGTAGGGGGTTAATATTTGGTATGAGGATGAAAATAAATTTTAATTTAGTTTTTGGTATATATATTCATAAATATATAAATAAATATACATGAAAGTATATATGGTGTATAAATTCATATATGCATAAAATTATGCATACATACGTATATATGTATTGTGCATCTACAAAATATCAAATAACTCATAACAACTAAAAAATAACTTCTGAAAAGATTAAGTGGGATAAGTAAAATTGCTTTTGGATTTGTGAAATAATTCTGAGACTGCAGTGAATAAATATGACTATGGAAATTTTTCCTAAGGAATTGCTATATACATAAGCATATAGCATAATATTCCCTTAGCTGAGTAATGCATCACAAATAGCATTTAACTTTGCTAGTATAGCGTAGAAGGTAAAGAGCTTGTCTGACATAGCACTACAGCATGTTTCTCTACAGAATTGAATAATCAAAAAAGGTAGCAAGATTCCAGAGGAAATCACTTTTTCTTCCCTCAGATCTATTAGAAACTGCTTTTCCTTCAATTTCTGTACTTAGTCTAACCACATACCACAGATCTGGTTTCCTTAGGTGGTTTACAAAAACTATGCCTTTAAATGCAAAAAATTAAATTGGTATAGTCATAGTGTCATGTCTATCATAGATTTTATAAGAATTTTAGTCAATAAGATAAAGATTATGACATTAATTTTATTTTCCATTTAGACTTAGTCTTGTTATTGTATTTAGTATGACTTACTAAAAAATCCATCATTAAAAAGATCACATTATAAATATACAGCACTCTTGTAAGAAATAAATTTTAAATGATATGCAAACTAACATCCCCTTTTATTTAAGAATGAAAACAATTATATTATGAATCATGTTTCTTATCTACTGATTCTCACCAGGACATAAATTCCCTGAGTGCTAGATTTTTTTTCTGTTGTTTTCAACTGACATATCTCCAGAGTCTTTAACTGTGCCTCACACAGCAGACGCTCAATAAACATTTATGAGTAACTGAATTTCTCAATCAATTTTATTTAATAATAGCACATAAAATTACAATGAGTTGACATATAAATAACAGCATACACAAAGGAAAAACAGCAACACCATATCAACTTTCATAAAAATAGATGGCTTCAAGTGCTCCTTCTCAGGCTTATTCTGTATTTAGGTATCTATATTGCACATATTAAAATGTCTCAGTAACTCCATTTGTGTTGGTTGTTTTCAATTGAACTTTGAAGATTATTACATGCAGGTGTCCATATCTTATTCATCCCCAAATAATCATATTTCTTTCAAAATGAATAAGGTGATAGAACTGTCATAGGTACCAGGCTACCATTTTGAAACAAAGCAAACACAAAGAACACTTTCAGGGGAAAGATTCTAGTGTATCATTTTGAATTACTGAATGATTATGCAGTTGCAAATACCAGAGTTATTATTCATGTGAAGATTACATTTGTATACAAAAAGACAGATGCTACTATTACACTTCTTTGATAGCAAAAATATTGACGGCATCAATCAAACACCAGATAATTTTACAAAATCTTCTTATATCTATAGGAAACAGTTGGAGTTTTCAATCATTTTTACTTATTTTTTTAATAGCATGCTTCCTGAAAACTAGCCATACTTGCAAAATTAATTATTTCAGCTTTAAGAACCTGTCCAAACCTGTTAAACAGGAATGGAAAGGAAATTTTCTACATTTTATCTATAATGCATATTAATACATATTATTTCACAAAAAACAGGCAAATTTTCAAAAATTTCTAAAGAAAACCATTGTATATATTCAGAAAACAAGCACAAGTTCAGAGATTTTTTACTTTTAGAAAATCTATCTTGTCCAATAGGAATGATATAATGATATAATTCTATGACTTATGCACAATGCCTCAGTTCACAATATAGGAATTCATTTGTCAGATTTGCTAAGTGATTCTTTTCAACATCTATTTTTCTTGAGAAAGATGAGGATTATTTCTTCTTTTGCACTAGTGTTTCAGAAAAGTCACAGATAACTAAAAAAACTGTTTTCTGGTAGTCCAGAGTTGGTCATCCAAGAAGAATCCCACATGAAAATTAAGCTTAAAATTACTACACAGGAGGACAAGACTCGTGCCTTAGTTAGCAATGGTCGAAGAGCGTGGAATTCTTTTCTTTCTTGATCAATTTCTTAAAATAGGATTCTTCATCATAGGCTGAAAAGAGGAGGACTGTACTGAAGTATGAATTTCCATTACTGTGTCTTTTTTTAGGAAAAGAAATATATATATATTTTGCTCTCAAGTCCCATGCAAACATTACACAATTAAGTTAGAGGGTTTACACAAACACTGCTGTTGGTTGGTTTGCATCTTAAAATCATAAATTTCCAATCAAATCTTGTCAAATTACATTAAATTGCTAAATGGTGATCTAACACAGATGTAACTACTTGCAACATATGAAAACTTCTCTCTGGTATTTGCATGCTTTGACCTCAATGTCAGTTTTAGAAACAATTTGACATTGCTAAAAAGCTAAAACTAAAAATTAAAATTGTGTAAGATAAAAACTAAATTGCATAAAATACCTTCATTGTATTTAGAATAAGTGCTTTTATAAATAATAATATGCTTTACCTAAAAAGACAGTGAGCTGAGGATATATAACTTTAAATTAAATAGAAAAGGTCACTGATTTAGATCTGTTTTGACTAGTGTTGATTCTAAAGGGCATGTTTGACTTTAGAGGAGAAAAATATATAAGATTTTCTATTATTTAAAAGATAGGTTTCATGAGAACCTTAAGATGTGATCGAATGAAGCAATCACACTTAATTACTAGAAGCCCAATGAATTATGTGTGTATTTCTTCTGATCAATGAGAAAAATAATAGGTACAAAGAAACTTCTGCTAACATCAAAAATAATTACAGAGTAAAACTAATATCTAAAGCATTCATTTATGTAAAACATGCCCACTAAAATCTCCACATTATAAAGAGAATGCAAATTATTGGATGATTAAACTACTTCAAAATTATAATTTTAAGTATTATTAACTATTATTACATTGATGTTTTCAAAAAACAATAACAATAATAATATGGTGTTTATGACTAGTATTTTTATGACTGGATGTTGACCTTTTTCATATTTAGTATTTCGTATTTGGGTCTTAGTATTCCATACATTTCCATCTAGAGCGTGACAGTCTCAGTTTTTAACATCTAAGATTTTCCCAAGAACAATGCAATAAAAGGTACATAAATACAAGTACTGAACGTACTCAAAGATCGGGATAAACCTATCCATAGCCTTAATAGACTTGGTGGCTTAGAGTACTTATGTCACCTCTAAGATTCAGCTTTGACTCTCACCATACACCATAAGCCAGGGAGTTAAAACTGCCGATAGACTAAACGGAACACCATAAAACATACACCAAAACTTACCATAATTGTGGTTACAACTACTGTTCTGTTCTCAATAGCAGCTGTGTCATTGCCAAGGGTGGGTACATCTTGAATCAAGACTAATTTATCCATATCATTCCAGTAACCAACCTGCCAAATACAGAAAGACTTCTAAAAATCTATTTTAGAGGAGTATACTCCAGCTATCATTGGAATGAGTGCTCCAAATAAACAAGCAATCAGAATAAATTTAAAAAGGAAATGAAAAAAGTGAAAGTTTTTAAAATTGCTGATAAACCATTCTCTTGGTTTATATATATATTTTCTTTTTGGTACGAGAAATTGAATTCACAACCTCAGGCTTGCCAATCTAAATGCTACCAAACTAAATCCTCAGCCCTAAAATTTATATATATTTTAAGCACTGTAGAAATGGTACTTGGTTTGATATAATCTAATCCCCTGATAGCAACACAGTACCTTTTATAAAATGCTACTTACCTCTATGATGAACATGAATCAGCATTGTTTTCATTTTCAAAGCTTATATTTATATGTGTATTTTAACTTAAAATCATTGTAATACTTTATCATTTAGAAATGAAGTGTTTTTTCATAATGTTAATTAAGCAATTAAGTACAGTAAGAAATAGTAAATTACAATGAGACCACACTAGAAATTTAAGATTCTCTGAGTTATACAGACCCTTAAATGACAGCAATGATTACAACATATTGCACATTTGCTCTAGGCAGATACTGCACACTTTGTGTTTTATTTGCATTTTAATGTTAGCGTACATATTAAATGTAGAGATTAAAGACACAAGCTTGGTAATATGTTGCTTCTATGGAAAACAGTTTCTCAAAATGAGTGTTCTTTAAAGCTCACCATACTTCCTTTTTTAAGGAAGCTTCCTTTTTTCTTGAAGCTGTTGATAAAGTTCATGTCTCCATAAAATGTGTGCATTTGCTTATTGTGCTCACTATTTGTTCTCCTATGTTTTGGGGGCCTCTGCTCCCTCTTCAAGTGTCTTAACTGCCATGTTAGTATTTATCAGCATATTAAAATACAAAGCATTAGCATGTCAAAAAACGTCACTATAATATTCACAAGTTTTGCATATCTATAATTCAATAGCAGGATAAATGAAGAGAAATAATTTTCATTAGCATGTCTTGCAGTACTTGGTTTGACCCTAAATTATGGTTTACATGAATTCAACAATTGTTTTCAGTTATCCAAGAAAATTTATTTCTAGCTGATATTTGTTTAGCAATTCTGTGAAAAAAATTTAATTGAAAAACAAGAATACTTTTGAGACCCTCCCTTTCTTCAGATGCTTCCTGCTAATTCTCTTTCCCATACGACAGGTACATGATGTAGAAAATAGGTTTTACAGTTTCGCACTTTATTAATGTGCAGCCACCCTACAAATCTCAGCAGCCTACTCTAAGGCAAAACATTTTTTCTTTACTAATTTGTCTCACAGCAGAAAAAAATCTCAGATTTGGGACACATTTTAAATGATAAATGATCCACAAATATGCTCCACTTTTGTATCTTTGAATAACTATTTGTAGAGGACAATATGTAAATATCAACTAGTGATTTCTTACTGTTTATTCTTTCTTTGAAAGTATGTATTATTTCTACCCATTTTCTGTTTTGTTTAGTCTTTCTTTAAAATTAAAAAAAACAGAGCAAAGGGAGGGAAAGGTGGAAACTACCGTCACTTTCTTCTATTATCTTGAATTTTTGCATTGTTTACATTAATTTTATTAGTCTGGCTTTGTTCTGTCTTTTGTTAGATTTTATGCTTTCAGATGGTAAGGGAAGCTATTTTGAATACAATGGGAACTATTATGGTAATCATGGTTTCCTATTTTATTGTTTCCTATTTTATTGTTTATTAATAGTCTTATAATGCTTTCATTCATTGGTCTGATTTTATTTTGTTTTGTTTAATTTTATTATGTGAGATGGTATGAACACTATTTTGAAGAAAACAATACATTATGATTGCTATTGCTGATTTACTATCATCTTGTTTTGAAGTCCTACCATGCTTTGGTTCTTCTGTTTTGATTGGTTCTATCCTGTTGTGTTTATTTGATTTTATTATGTGTGATGTTATAGACAAATTTTTTGAGGAAAATGAGGCATCACAGCAGCCATTGTTCATTTCCTGTTATTTGGTTTTGAAGTCCTCTAATGCTTTCATTCTTTTGAATTTTTTTTACTATATTGTTATGTTTGATATATTGTGTGTGCAGGTATGCTCAACTATTTCAAAGAAAAGAGACATTATGTTAGCTACTGTTGATGTCCAGTTGTTTTGTTGTGAAGTGCTGTGTTGCTTGCATTTCCCTGTTCTGATTTGTTTTGTTTCATTCTGTTTTCTGTTGTTCTCTTTAAAATTAAATAAAATGAAAAGAAAAAGCAGAAAGTTATCTTCTTGTATTATCTGCATGAAATTGTGGTGAAAACTGAGGCCACATTTTCTAATAAGGTCAAATCTATGGCAGATTTCAGGGGTCTGTGGATTTATTGGAAAGATAGTCTTTACATAGATCATTTCCTAAAGAAAAGAATCCCAAGGCTTCAATCTAGAATAACATGTGAGATGGAATTTTTTCTCTAGTTCTTCCCAGAATTTTATATTTTACTCAATACTTTTGTCTGACCTCATTTGATCTATTAAGGAATAGATGTATTTTTTATAGAGATACAACCTGGACAACAGGGGTTATATACTGCAAAAGTATGGAAGCATTTAGATCGCTAACTTGACAAAGATATTCAAAATATTCATCTTTGGGCTTTTAAAGATAAATTTTGCACAAATATTACCAGAATAAATTCTATATGTGTAGGAGTCCATATCTATGGTTGACTTGATTTGTAAAATAGGGTTGAGGTTGGGATTGAGAGATTACACTCTCTCACTGGGAATCTTATAGGCAGTGGGGCTGATGTTTCATAGGAGTCCACAGAGAGAGCTTTGGAGCTACTGGAATTTTGGCTTCCATCTCTTTCTAGCTGGACAGGATACTTAGTTTGTCTGTGCCTTACTTTTCTATAAAATGAGAAATTATCTATTTATCTATCTCATTTATCTATGATCAATCTCTCTCTCTCTCTCTCTCTATATATATATATATATATATATATATATATATATACCTTATTTTTACATTGTCATGAGGATTAAATATAAAAATGCATATCAATTTTCCATGACAGTACCTGGCATGAACCTGCTCCTAGATAAATGAATTGTTTATAACTAAGAATTCATGTAACCATGTAAGTCTGGTAAAAAGAAAAATCTGCTCTGAAACTCTGGGGAACACCAAACAATAAGAAGGGTCTACTTTTCTTAGGAGTCTGGACTTCATAAAGAGCTTTGCATCCTCTGCTTAATGGGACTCAGTCAGTTACAGAAGTCAGACAAATGGAGGGGTTGGCTTTCCAATCTATTTCAGAGATCACTCCCTTGCTGGCAAGTGTTCAATTTACAAGAATAATTGCTCAGTTCTCAGGCATATTGCCTAGCCTCACCAGCGTACTGTTTCTCACGGTAGCTTATTTTTAAGTTTAATATTCCCAACAGAATGCTCGAGTTGATCCTTTGCAACCCACAAGAAAACGAAGACAGATGAGTCTACACCATTTTACACTTGATATTTCTTTAAGTCTTGGATGAAGGTCATCTGGGCATGAAGATATATTGCTCATTACTCTCTCAACTTACTCTAACTTTCTCCTCAAAAAGTCTTCATTTTTGTCACCACCACAGTTCAATAAGCCCTGAAGGATTCCGTGTTATAAATAGTCCCACTAGACACCACACTAGTTACCAGCGGCTTCCTTTCTTCATTATTCCTTCTTTATACAGAACCATTTGACTTTCTGTACTCACTGATGTGTAAAACATGGAGTTCTCTTTCGAATTTAAAAATTAGTAGTTGTACTGAATAGTTTTCCAAGGTCTGGGATGTGACAGAAATGTGGTGTGTCTTCCCTCTGCCCATCCATTACCCGGTATTTTTAAGAACCTCTGGAGTACTCTGTCTGTTTCACAGCTAAGTGGGACTCTGTTTCAAGGGGTCTCTGTTTCCTGCTGCTGGCAGGGTGCTAAGTGGGTACAGTGGCATCTGACACAGAGCTCAGTGAGTTTACCTCTCAGGAAGTGTGTCCCGCCCTCTTCCCTTGCTTCTGCACAGGTCTACAGAAGCCTATCATGGTGGCCAGCTTGGGTGTCCTCAGCTTCACTCATCTCCTGTCTTATCTGACCTAGCCCTGTAGATGCTGGTCTGCCATGGATCAGCTGTCAGCCTCCATGCCAGAAGATGCTGCCATGGGAATGACAAGCCGGAGAGGTTTTCACGGCAGCTCGAGGTTTCTTCTCACATGGATGTCAAAGCACACCCACATGATAGAGTACAGCAAGACACCACTTTAAAGTGTTCATCATTTTCCATCCATGGCTTTAACTGTCCTGCCCCGAGGCCTTTCTTCTGATTTCTCTCCCTGTTTACACCACCGCTCCTTGGCTCACTTTAAACCCCACCTTCCCCATGCAGCCATTCCTAACGTGCTTTCCTCCTTCCACAAATTCTGCATGTCCTTTCCTCAAGTGGCATTTGAAACACACGTATTCCTCTCTACTAGAAAATAAGCTTCTTAGGAACATGGTCCATTCAGGCTGGGTACGATGTGGGAAGATTCTTCTGGAACCAGGTATATCTGAATCTTTGTTTTCCCAGACATGAGCTTTAGGCAAGTAACCACACTGCTTGGGTTATAACTTTCTCCTCTGAAGAATGGATATAATATTCAAGTTATAGATTTGCAGCAAGGATTAGATGATGTGAAGCACGAAGTCCAGCCTTGGGACATAGCAGTAATTTCATAATCTGTAGATCCTCTTACTCCACTAAGTCAGGAAGGTGTATTTTGGAAATACTTTTTAAACAGCCAAGTGTGGAAAGAGTTTTAGATAAGGCTACCTTTAATACCTTTTTCTTTGATATTCTAGTTAATTTTTGAGAAAAGACAAGTTAAACTTTTAGCTTGCTATTTGTAACCAATTACTGAGGTGAGGTTATATGGTTCTATCACATAAAGTACTCTTTGGAAGGAAGACTGTTGACATGTTTGGTCACGACTTAGGCTCACGGACTTACTTTTCCAAGTGCAAGTTGCTGAATCCAGCTCCCTCCCAATCAGCAGAAGTGTTTCTTTTTCTTCTCAGCTAACAGTAATTTTCATAATCTTGTCTTTCTTTTGCCTTCTTCCTTGCATTTATCTACGGGTTTACCTTAAGAGCCTCTGATCTCCTCTGAGGATGCTCATCCATTAAAGGGATTAGTATTCTTTGCACTCTTTTAGGTGACTTCATGGATGATATATGGACATAGCACTGCACTGTGCTCTTTCCTGCTGAGTAAGTTATACTTGCATCCTTCCCCAGTTGCTTCCATTGTGTTATAAATGGTAAACACTTTAGTTGATTCAGCTTTGCTAAACCATAGACTATCAATTATATAATACAAAAATTTATCAGTACATATTACCAAGAAAGTATTATTTGTAAGTACTCACATTCAATATTGTAGAATAACCAGTTTTTCATTCCTATAAGCCTTTAAAAATGACAAGTGCAAACCATGCAATGTTATTTTTATGTATGTATTTGATTTTCTGAGTCAGTCTCACTATGTCATCCAGACTGGCTTTGAATTCATAGTGATCCTCCTGTCTCAGCCTCATGAGCGCTGGGACTGCAGATGGATACCACCATGCCTGGCTTAGGATTGTCTGTTTTTCAGTTTGATAGTGGCTCACCTTTCTGGGTCCAGTGCTCTTTAGCTCAAACACATCCATTGTGTAATTGACTCTACGTCCATAGTGGTCAAATTGAACATTTCCAGTTAGTCCCTGAATTCGAACCTATGGAGGAAAAAGAAAACCCACACATGTATTCAATAGCAACTTCACTTAGAGAAATCTCGCCTTCATCTGATAGGAGTATGCTCACATAAGGATGTGGAACTATAAATTAGCACTATTTATTGGGATTTTGTTGGGTAGCTGAGCAGCATTTATGATGGCAACTGCTCTGTCAGCCAGCTTGTCTGAGTGATTGCAGTGAATTGAAGACATTTGTTAATCTAGTGTGCGTCTAGCGAGCAAAGTTCTTGTAGTATTTGAGGTTTTTACTCTAGCAAAATTTTGTTTATCATTGGCTGTTTATCTATATAAGATATTAACATCATGATGCTAACCTGATTATACTTAGGATACTTTCCAGTCACCTCAACAGTGGTTATGGCTTAATGTATTAAGTTGCCGATTGTAATACATATTTACACTCAGAAAAACTGTTTTCCTAAACATTCCACTTAAGATAATATCAAATAAGTAGAAGTTAACAGAGGGAGTTACCTGTTTGAGTGTCCTCTCCATGTCAATGCCTTGGCCCCATGGAGCAGCAGGGTTTGCCAGACAATCCCCAGCATTTCCTCTCCTTGAAATATCTATTTTCTGCCTCCTGAGACTTCGGAAAGTTTCAGCCATCACCAGGACACCATCATAAGTCAGGGCAGAGGTGTACTAATCAAATGAAAATGACAGCAACAGTAAATATTAAAATCTTATCTAGGAATAGTCTGGAGGTTCTCTGAGTTTCTGACAAAAACACTATCCTATATGCATTATAGTTAAATTACTGATAATGCACTCTGGCTTTAGAAGTTTCTACTCTTGCTTGAATACAAAGACTGTATACCAAATATTACCATCATAATTTTAAAATGAGAAAACACACTCTAAAAAGAGAGATTTTAATACACAACTTCCCATCAGTTAGGTTAAGCAACGCCTTAGGCGAGGACTTTGTATCTAATTGTAAAAGGCTCTAAAAACGCTGTGTGTGGCATTGTTCAATTTGCTTTCTAGTTTATTATAGTGGTTGAGGCCAAGGGTGTGGGATGTAATCTTTTCTCCTCCAAAATGTCTAGCAGGATTCCCTGGCTCATTCATATTTATTATTTTAAAGTGTATATCTTTGTTTAGTCTCCTAGAAAAACTGATAGGTGGTTTACTGTTATTAAAATATGCTATCATAGATAACAACTTCTCCATTAACAAATATGTTTCACTAGTCATCACCCTAAATAAGAAGGAGCATCTTAACTAGAGACGTGATTCGTACCTGTAAACCCAGGACTCTGGAAATCTGAGGGAAAGGAATGCAAGTTTGAACTTAAGCCTCTGTATGTGCATAAGGAGATTAGGAAGATTAAGTCATTTCTTTTAAGTTTTTCACACAACTAGGGCCAAAGTGGAGATATGAAAAATAGATTGTTTGCTTTCCAACCACTACTCCATGCTGTACTTGAAGAACGTGAGCCTCCAAATACATTTTCAAGGTGAGAGCAGAAGTGAGGAAAAACCAAGTAACTTGTTTAAGCCATAAATGAAAAGAAAATAGATGCCTTTGGTAGAGTTTGAATAGAATGGTTAGAGAATTAATATGCACTTGGAAAACATGGTACACTTGTTTTAGAGCATGGAAGAGGGTCAACTACGTCATCTCTTTCAGGAACTCTACATGGTTAATTCCATATGATTATCACTTTCTACACCTATATGATGGGTAGGATTTGCTGTGGAAAAGGGGGAGTTCTCTCTCTGACTTTCTGTTTGTAAATTCCAACTGTAGAAAGCAAACATGAGCAATGTGACCATAACACACAAAAACTAGGAAGAGGTAAATTAAACCAGGAATATAAAAAATAAAGAATACAGTATAAATTCTAACCAAGTCTTCATAGTAGAGGACCTAACTATGAAGCTTGTATTAGAAGGATGTATAAATTAGGAGACTTGCTATGTATCCTTCAGAATATGATACAAAGGCTTAAGAACACGCCTAGGATAGAGCAGCTGCAAGAAATCAAGATGATAAGTGAGGAGCTACTTAGAAATGAATATATTTCTTCTCCTGCCTGAACTCACACATCTATCACATTGTCTTTTTGTAAATCAAGAAAATACAAATAAGAAATAAACTGAAACTTACTAAAGACATAAAGACAAAAGAAAATGCAGTACTAGCATTTCAGGATCAAGAGAGAGAGAGAGAGAGAGAGAGAGAGAGAGAGAGAGAGAGAGAGAGAGAGAGAGAGAGAGAGAAACACTTGCTTTTTCAGTTTGCAGAGAGAAGCCGAGAAGAGATGAGATAAACATGTAAGTGCACTTGCTGCTTTTAAACTTCATGCATTTTTGTGAAGAAAGTGTACTAGAAAAAAAGAGCAGTATAACACAGAGGGCCTCAGAGTACAGGAGAGGTTCAGCCAGAACTTGACAAGCCATAGAAGATGGAAAGAAACACTAATTCAACAGGTCTTAGCTTTCCAGTGAGTGCCATTCTTGCCCATGTGCCTCATTGTGTTGTCACCCAGGAAACCATATTTATGTGTGTACAACTTCTAGATGTCACCTTGAAAATTCCTATTAAACAAACATTTAATTTGGGGGAAGGATAGAAGTAAATTTAAGCCTGTAAGTATTAACTTCTCTGACCAGTGATCAGCCTAGTAGAATGAATTGTGTTTCCCAAGCTGTAGATTGACAAGACAGAGATGAGCGATATCACAGTGCAGCGGAAAGAGTACGGCCATGGAAAGAAAGGACTGAGATGAACTTGACTTCTGCTACACACAGATTTATGGGAAAGCAAAGCACATTCTTCAGTTATGAAACATAAAATAGAACAAAATCCAATAAATAAGGTAATAACCTCTATCTACTATGGTTGTTTTGAGGACAAAATTTTATATCATATCTGAGATTTCTTTGAAAAATGGTCTTAGACACTGGTTAGGAATCATAAGGACTACAAGGATTAATAATAGATGCTTACTGTCCCTTAAGAAGTTTACAGGTGTGAAACAATAAGCCTACAAAGAATTATTTTAAATTTTTGGGAAAAAAAACATGTTCAAATGTTATGAAGAGGACCAAGGAAAAGAGGTTCACATTTACTGGAGAAATTTTCTAGAGGCTTTGAAAGAAAATGGTGTTTGACATAAAGCTTTGGAAGATGGATGGATTTGGACTGGTAGAAATGAAAGTGTGGAACTATTGCAGTGAGAGCACACTGTTTATTGAGTGAGACAAGGATAGAGAAGTGTTCTTGCTGGAGCATCAGGGTGGGGCAGACACTGATTTCCCCTGTATTATGGCTGACCTTTGTTCACAAAGTGACAAGACAAAAAATCTTGGTGGAAATACTAAGAGACTGAAATATAATTTATATAATAGCAATCAATTCTTGTTTGTGGATTCTAGGCATTTGAAATTGCCTCGTTGCAAGTACTTATTTTTGACCCCCACATCCATACTAGCAGAATTTTTGCGATTACTTGTGGACATGCGTGGAGTGCCAAAAATGTGATTCACTCAACATAAAATGTCCCAGTTCTAATTGAATAAGAAAAACACTATTTTTGTTTGTTTCTGTTCTTATATCATAATCATGTGATCAATGCTGTTTTTCTTAATTTTTTTGCTTTCTGCGGACCATCTTCCTATTTGAAATGGACCAGAAGCACTGTGTTGAGTGCTGTCTAGTGTTCCTAAGTTCAAAAATGTGATGTGCTGTGAGGAGTAAACATTCATATCACACAAGCATAATCCAGTGATGTTATACAAGTGTTAGGCATAGTTAATTGTTAACAAATCAAAAATGTATTGAGATTTCTTTAAACTGAAACATACATAAAACAATGTTATGAATTATTTGGTTGAAAAATATAGATACATGCTCACAGACACAAACCCTGTATTTCTTTGAAAAAAGGTTTAACATTTGCTCATATATTATTTAAAAAGGTTATAGAAATAACTAACACAAGCAATTGAAATTGACTGTATATATTTATTAAATTTGGAGTGCCTACAATCATGCAAAGAGCTGTGGAAATTATCTATATATGTAGGTCATATTTATTATAGTATATCATAAAAGCTGTATTTATTAAACATGAAATTGGTTTAAATCTTAATAGCTCTATCAAACAGGCAGAATTATCACAGAAGAATGCCATAAAGGATCATATAATTTTTATATAACAAAGAGTTCAAAGCTGTAGTATGAATAAGTCTAATTGGAAGTTATTGAATAGGAGTTATTAAAATGATTCTATCCTGATATTTTGTGAACCTGATCCTCAATTTAAGGACAGTCAATGAATACACCCACTATGTTCTTACACACATTAATCTGGAAAATCAGAGAGTAGAAATCTAGTGCCTGACACATACAGGACACCCAATATATTTTTGGATACCCAATATATATTTTGAAAAATCCATGGTTCTATAGGCTAGCTATTAATATTCTAATATTGCAGAGGAGAAATCAACATGGTCAAAATGAAAAATTCTGTAGTTCAAAAATGGAGTAGTTAAGAACCTCAATTTTTCTATACTTGAATTTCCAAATTAGAAATTAAAACTCTTTCCTGGAATATGCTGTTGGTGTAAACACTGTTGACTGTGATGTCTTATTATGTGACACGTCATAACCTCCTATCGTACTCTATTGACTACCCAATGTCTAAGAAAACCATTTAGCTTTTCAAATGTGTTTATGGTGGGAAATTTACCAGCTATCTTCATAAATACTAATAATATGCTTCTGCAATACTTTTCAGAAAAAATTAATGTCTAGTTGTTTACTGTTACTTTTAAAGAGAAATTATTAAGCTCTACATTTGCACTGCTAACAAATTCTTATTTCCTCATTATAAGTCATATTACAAAACAGTTTTTATCTGGCTAGAAAAGTTAGTAATGGACATGTATAGTAGAAATATTGAGCTAGTGAAACTTTAGAAACCAAATAATTTCTTCAAATAAGTTCATATGATAAAATTATAAACTTCTCAACTTAATGTATAAGAACTCTGCCCTTAAATACTGAAGTTTAGAGACTGTTAGAGGCCTATTCAGTACAACAACAGTAACAAAAGGCTGCTTTCCTATGAGAGATTATCTTTGAAAAAAAACACAGCTAGAATTGCATAATGAACCTTCTACCTTAAAATTTTAAAAATACCCAAAGTATATGAGATTCAAAAAGGCAAATACCTTTGGGGGGGTCTCAGACCCTGGATACTCTCTCTGATCTAGTTTCTTCCAGCGATCCATTAGCTTGGTTACCATAGGTGTATTAAAATCTACCAACTGGAATCCTGTAACATTCGCTCCTCCATGTATAAACCTCTCAAGAGAAATATCCTTGAATCCCTATGAAATCAACATGAAATGTTAAGTTTAGCACATTAACATATATTTCAGCTTTTCAATATTAATATAGATCAATGAGCAATATATACATCTAAGTAGAATTCTAATAAACAATAGCTAGAAGGAATAAAAAAATAGACTTATGTTAGCTTTTAAATTCTGTTCCTCAAAATCCAATACATAGAAAGAATTCAATTCAGTATCAGTTCAATTCAGCATCAGTATCAGTTCAATGCAACTCAAATATTTCTCAAATGATTTTTAATGTCTTTTTTGAAGTATAAAGGGGTATATAGGGGAAATATAACATCAACGAATCTTCTGCTGAGAACACCACTGCCTCTGGAGTAGATATGTGTGTTTTCTCTTAGTATACCTATATTATCTTTTGAGGTAATAGGGATAGGACTTAGGGTCTTCACACCCAGGATTACATCCCAAGCCCATTTTAATTTTTTTTGTTTGGTGATACAGAGTCATGAAGTCTCAAATTCACCCAGACTGGGCTCAGATTAACGATATTTCTGTCTCAGTCTCTCAGAGTGCTGGTGTTACAGTGGTGTGACATCATGCATGATTATCCTCTGATACAGATATGTGAAAATGTGTATTATATGAAAGTAACACCAAGATACCATGACACTCCAAGTCTGTGATAGGTTAAAACATTTAAAGCTGTTTTGGCATCATTACAAAGTGGTTTATAAGCAGAGAGAGCTGCTTATTTGAACTCGAGAGGATAAAACTTTTGATGAGCTTCTGTGTGGTCAGAACAATGATATTTTTTTCCAAGTGGAATGCAGAAGTTGGCAGAGTGAGAAGGGAGAGGTCGTCTCTTTGGGCCTAGATGTAATAACCTAGGTTTCAAAAATTCTGGAAAAGAATTCTTTCTCTCCTGTCTATGTATTTTCTCTCTCTCTTTCTCTCTCTCTCCCTCCTTTCTCAGCACCCTTAATTTCCATTAAGAATATAAAGCATGCCATAAAAATATATACTCAACGAAATAAAGGAGCAAAAGTAGATTAAGGAGGTAAATTAATAAAGCCAAGTGTATCAGTTCAGAGAACAATAAATGTCGTTTGTGCATTTACGTGTGCATGCACGCACACTCACACACACACACACACACGCTCACAGATGCAGTTTATAGTCTCTATAAGTCTTTTTTGTTTTGCTGTGTAGTAAAAGTTCTTTTGAAGATGTGAAAATGTTTCAGTTCTCCTGAGAATACTAAGGGAAAGTGTTTTTTGTCTTGGTCTGTCTGTCTGTCCCTTTTCCTTTTTGTGGGAGAAAGTGAGTGTCAGAAACCCTGAACTCTGACATTAGTGGAGGAAGCAGTGAAGACTTAGGGCTGTTCACATTGGTCATGCTTTCGGAAACATTTAGGTTTTTATTTTTGTTTTTATTTAATTTATTTCATAAAGAAGCAGATTGCTGTCTGGTTCACATATGATATTGCTGTTTGGTTTTCTATGAAGAAATAGAGCAGCCCTTTGGCAACTATGCAAAATGGTTGATGGGAGGTCCAGGTACTTGATCTAGTAACTGATGCTGAAGTTGGGTTTACTGTGTGCAGACACTGTGTTAAGCACTTTGCACCGATTCTCTGTCTAGTTCAGTCTTCACAACAAAGTTAGGAAGCGGTATCCATTACTAATCTTACAGAGGAAAAAGTCTGAGGCTCAATGCAACAACGCAAACTTTTCAAGGTCACTCAGTAAATATATAATAGGGCTAAATTCCAAGCACATGAATGGATGTTTGAATTTGCATTTTTACTTTATTCTCATGCATACTCTTCCATAAAGATAACGAAATGTTTTGAATTTCATTAATTATCAGTGGGTATGCAATAGCAGTACAGTGATACTGGAGACAAAGAAAACTGAGACTTTGAATCCCACCTTTAACTTTCTAACTTAGATTTTCTACCTGCAAAATGAAAATAGTATTGCTAACATATCTCGCACATCATGTCTGCATTCAATAATTAATATTGATTATTAATTAACTCACCAAACAACTACATATTTCATGGCTACCATGTGCCAGCTAATTTGACAGATCAATAATATTCTAAATAAAGTGGATGTCAAAAAGCAAATTTATGTTTCAGAAACAGGAAACAACAATTTTTTTGCCTCATCAATCTCTAGCTACTAAAATGTCAGTTGAATATTTGTTTGTTTTGACCAGAGCATAGGGCAGACCCACAGCAGGAAACTAATTCCAATGATTTCTAAAATCCACAGTAATTCAATTGTCGTATTAGTTGCTAACTGATGACACTATTATTTTCTTTCAGCCAGGGCTAAAAGGCTTGGTCTTCCAAGCCTTCTTTCATGTCATTCACCACAGTTGCAAGACAGAAGCAAAGATGCAACCTTCAGAAAAACGTACGCATTGTAAAGACTGTCTGACAAGTAACTGTCCATATTTCTCTGCTTCTATTCTGTTGCTGCATTGAAGGAGAACTAAGAAAAGTTACTTTACCTGATGATAAACTGCTTCCAGTTCTGATTTGAATGAATAGAGGATGACGTTAATATCAGCTATGTCTGGTTGAACACAGGCAATATTTTTCCTTTCATACATTTTCATATGATTTTATATAGAAAATTGATAGGATCTAGCCTGAAAAGTTGTTTCCTTGGAAACAGTTGCTTTGGTGGCCATTTAGCTTCAGTTTGTATCAAGGGAATACTGTGGAACTGAAAGTTCTAGGGCAACATTGTAATAAAATCGACTACTCCGCAGTCAGGGGGAAATTGGTGGCTAAGTAACTAAGTAAATAATGTCCCAGAGGGCAAAGTGAGCAGAAAGCCCCTCTGCCTATTGAAATGGGCTGCTATGTTGCTTACATTTCCCAGTGGTTAGTGAACTCTCCAAATTAATTACCAATTTGGTTTCCCTTTTTAGTTGTAATCATATATCCTGCAGGAGGGATGCTTATACATATCAGCTAAGCATATCATCCTGATGACTACTTATGTAAATCTGTAGATCCATTACAATATCAATATTTAATTAATGTTCATCCTTTAAATCTTACCTAACTCTGCTAACATTTCTGCTGTGTTTCTTAGGGTGACAGGTTATTAAATCATATTGCAACTGTTCTGATGCTGTTAACAAAGGAAGATAAAATAGAATAGAAAAATTTCCCTCCATAATCTTCTTACGAATTAGTCTGTGAAGAACTGGCTTAATATTTGCACTTTTAAAAATTAGTGCATCTCTTCAGGGCATGAAATTTGCGGTCACCTTGTAGAATAGTTACATGCACATAATACAGCTTGTTTCTCTTAAATCCTCTTCCCACCCTGCCTCTCTCTGCTTCTAAATCATCCTTTCCCTTGTTGATGCTTTTTGTTAGTATTATTTATAGCTGGTGTTTGTGACATGCAATGTTTAAATTCTTTGAGGATATCAGGTTCTGTACATGGCATATCTTAACTATTCTTGCTTATCTTTTTCCCTCCCTCTGTCCCGCAACCTCAATCTCCCTGAGCCCTTTCCATTTGTAAGAAATCTGTCCTTCGTTTCCATCTATCCTTTGTTATGGCCTTTGCTTGTACTTTGCCTTTTTTCAGATGAGAGCTATCTTATGGCATTTAACCTTTTATGTCTGACTTATTTTACTAAACATATATTTTCCAGGTGCATCCATTTTCCTATAAATGTCTCAGATGTATTCTCCTTTATAGCTGAATTGTACTTCATTACAGAGACACCATTTTTTTTTAACAATAAATTTGTCTGTTGATGGGAATGCATGCTTACTTCTAGCATTTAGTTGGTATGAATTTTGCAGCTGTGAATACTGGTGTGCATGTATTGATGCAGCATAATGTCTTTAGGTCTTCTGGGACACTAATAAGAGGACAAGCTGGGTCAACTGGAATCTCTAATTTCTAGGTCTAGATTTAATTATAGTTCTAATTTCAGTTCTTAGACAAAACCCCATAAAGGTATTACTTGTTTACATTCCATAAAGGTATTACTTGTTTACATTCCCAGAAACAATGTAGAAGGATTCTTTTGTTTTGTTTTGTTTTTAGCCAGCATTTGTTATGATTTGACTTCTTGATTGCTATTCTTTCTGGTATAAGATAGAATCCTAACACTGTTTTACTTTGTTTACTCTAATGACTCTCTAGTCATGTCTTTAATGTTTGCTGGCCACTTGTACCTCTTCTGAGAAGTACCTGTTCATTTTGCTTGCCATTTTTTCTTTCTTTCTTTCTTTTCTTTTCTTTTTTTTTTTTTTTTTTTTTGTCTTTTTCCTTTTTATCGGTACCGGGGATCAAACTCACGACCGCCTGCTTGCAAGGCAGGTGCTTATGCCGCTGAGCTAAATCCCCAGCCCCTTGCTTGCCATTTTCTGATTATTTATTTCAGATAGACTAATGTTTTTAATTCTTTGTATTCTAGATAATAGTGTCTGTCTGAGAAATATTGACAGGATTTTCCCATTCTGCAGTAGGTTGTCTCTTTATTAATTGATTACTTTATTGTCTAGAGGCTTTTTAATTTGATAAAATCCCATTTGTTGATTCTTGCTGTTATCCCTTGTGCAATTTGGTGTGCTATTTAGAAAATCCTTTCTTAAATCTTTGAGTTCAAGTATTTTACCTTTTATTTTCCAGTGGAATCAACGTTTCTGTCTTTAATGCTTATATTTTTAATCCATTTTTATTACAGCTTAGTACAAGATGAAAGATATGAGTTCAACTTAAGACTTCTGCCAACTTATCCAATTTTCCCAGCACTACTTGTTCAATAGATTATCTTTCCTCCAATGTATGCTTTTATCAAATATCTGTGTCTGTGGATGCTTCTGTATCCTCTGTTCTGTTTCTTTGACTCAAATATCTGTTTTGGCTCAGTGCCATGCCAATTGATCACTGTCACTTTATAGTATAGCTTCAAGTCAATTATTGTGACATCTCCTGTTTTGCTCTTGTTGCCCAAGTTTGCTTTTGCTACTTTTAGTCTAT